CCATTTCAAAACCCTAATTATGCCTAGGTGTCCCGATGCGAACAAATATATCCTTTACCCTATCATTAGGCTAAGGAGGCGCCGCACTCCGTTTTAGGGTTTCCCTCCGTGGAATGTTTAGTTAACCCTAATTTTCAAATTAACTATTTCAACATAGAAATAGGAGTCGCCGCACTCCACGTAAGAGCTTCCTTAAGAAATGCTTACTCCCCATTGAAACCTTGACCACAATCAAGAAGTTTCTAACCTCCTTTTTGAGGAGAACTATGATTACTCTGATTCCATCCCCTACCTCGGATACGTAGGCACAAGATGCGAATCTTGGCGAGTAAACTTAGGACTAACCCTTAGGTCTCTTTGTCACTCTTAACCCTTAACTCAATATATACCTTAAGCAAATAATAAAGTAAATATCAAACTTTAAACAAAAGGTTCCTGTAGAATACTACATGAGTTTAAAGTGTTGGTACCTTTCATAAGCTTAACCAACCCCTTACCTAGGTCTCTCCCCGCATTGTTTACAATGCAAAAAATAGGTTTTCATTTATTTGACCTTTTTCTTCGGATAAATCAAAGATTGGTTGTGAACTAAAGATGTGATTCAAACTAATTAATAGTTTGGTATCCTATTCTTACCGCAACACAACCAAATACTCTTAGCCTGTCGAGACTAGGTGGACATCCTGACCAAACTTCTTCAGGTGTCTTCATATCTAACACAGTAGAAGGACATTTATTTATCAAATATGTTATTGTTGAAACAACCTCAACCCAAGACACCTTCTTTAATCCAGCACTAGTCAACATACATCTAACTATTTCCAAAATGGTTCAATTAAACCTTTCTACCAAACCATTTTGTTGTGGAGTAACTACAATAGTTTTGTGCCTTGCAATACCTGAAGCAACACAAAAACCATTGAATGCCTCATTTCAAAATTCAAGGACATTGTTGGTTCTCAACCTTTTGATCTTTCTGATAGTCTGATTTTCGACCAGAGTCTTCCAACCTTTGAAATTCTCAAAAGTTTCATCCTTAGTCTTTTAGATGAATACCCACAACTTCCTGAAATAATCATCAACTATGGATAAAAAATACCTTGCTCCTGAATGTGATGGATACCTTGCAGGCCTCTAAAGATCAGCATGGATGTAATTAAGGGATCCACGAGTTTTTTGTTTGCCTTTGTTGAACTTCACTCTGCAAGATTTTCCAACTACACAAGGTTCACAAAATTCCAGCTTTTCGACTCTGTCTCCTCTAAGCAGATTTTGTTTCCCTAATTCAACCAGACCCCTTTCACTAACATGGCCCAATCTCATGTGCCAAAATTTTGTTTTCGACAACGATTTGTGGATTCAACATTTATCAAACCACTTACAACTTCAGCCTAGAGGGTATACAAGTCTTATTTCTTTACGCCTCTCAAGACTTCCTTTTACCCTTTCATGATTCTTAGGATACTTTTCTCTCATTGAAAAACACATCCCTTCCTGTCGAATTCACCAAGAGAAATCAAATTTCTCTTCAAATCAGGTACATACTTGACTTCGGTCAATAACCTTATTGACTCGTCACAAAGCTTGAATCTCACAGATCTAATGCCTGCAATTTTGCAAGATTTGTTGTTTTCTAGCAGCACTCATCCACCATCTTGATCACATAGCTCCTCGAACAATTCTCTATTTGGAGTCATGTGCCAAGTGCAACCTGAATCCATAATCCACTCATTTCTTGAGTCGCCGCTTGAAACCACAAAAACATCAAATGATACGAAGTCATCTTGAACAATGGCTGCATTGCCATTATCTTTACCTCCATGATCTTCCAGGCGTTAAGAGCACACTTTTCTTGTGTGACCCCTCTTCTTACAGTGATAACATCGAATATTAGATGCCTCACCACTATAAGACTTCTGCTGACTTTTACCTTTCTTCTTGTCGAACTTACCATCCTTTCGCAAGATTTTTCCCTTAACGGTCAAACCTTCACCAACTGTTGAAGGTTTATACTCCTTTCGTTCGTTCAAGTTCTTAGAATATAAGGCTGATTGAAATTCTTCAAAACTCAGAGACTCTATTCCATACAAGAGTGTTTCTTTGAAGTGAACATGTGTTATGGGCAAAGCGCACAACAACAACAATGCTTGATCTTCATCATCGATCTTCACATCAATATTTTCAAGATCAAGAATTAGCTTGTTGAACATATCCAACTGCTCAGCCAACACTTTGTCTTTACTTATCTTGAATGAATATAAGGTTCACTGCAGATAGAGTCGATTCCCATAGATTTGATAATGTATAAACTTTCAAGTTTCAACCATAACCCTGATACCGTAGTCTCATTTGATACCTGCCGAAGAACCTTATCACCAAGACTCAACAATATTGTGCTGTGGGCTTTTTCTATCATAGTCATCTTTTCTTTTTCCGTTAATGTAACGTCCATGGTTGCTTCTCCCTTAAATGCTTCCAAACAACCCTACTGAACCAGTAGGACTTTCATCTTCAAGCGCCACAAACCGAAATCGTTCACTCCAGTGAACTTTTCAATCTCATACTTTGTTGAAGGCATCTTCCTCAACGCTCACCACACCAATTTGTTATGAACTAGGATGTCTTAAAACAAAATATACTCGGTTTCTTTATGATCGAGAAACACACAAAGGTTATGGTTAAGGAAAATACAAGGAGAACAATAAGGATTGATTATAACTGCTATTCTTTACTTTCTCTACGAAACAAATCACAAGTACTCAAGAATAACAAATAACCCTCCCACCCTAATTAGGTTTTGTCATACCACAGTTAAGATGAGAGACTAGTATATTATTTATAATAAAACCTAACATATTAAACTATTTGCTTTTAAACAATTATCCATTACAAGCTAACTTAGGGTACAAACTAACTTAAACAATTGAATCTTTAACACAAGACATAATTCGACAACTACATACTAGAACACAATTCAAATAAAGCATGTAGGTCTTCGACAACAACATGTGAGCAGACTCCGGCAACATGCTAAACTAGAGTTCGATTCAAAATCTCATAAATATACATGATAAATCAAATCAACTTCTATTAAGTTGGTATATTAGAATTATAAAAATACCAAAATACTGTAACAATCACTTAGATTACAAACCATAATAGCATTTAAATATACAGAATAACAAAACTAGAAACACTATAACAAACATAGTAACAAATCAAGGTTACATACAATCACATAATAACATAATAACATAATATTTATCTGTTTTTTATTTGTGAAGAAGACCCACTTTTTAGATACTTACCAATCAAAGAATAAAGCTCACAAAATATTATCGTTAAAATTCCGGTCCGACATCGTATAAATGAAGTGACGTTAGAGTTTAAAAGTTTTTAATTTTCATTGCTCTGATAAATGAAAAGGCTAATGTCTAATGAAAAAATAAATTATATAAAGTGAATAAAATAATAAACCGCGAGAAGTTTTATTGGGTTGTGTTATTTAAAATTTTAAGAAAAAAATGTAAAATCAAGTCAAAGAGTAAAATCTAAAGATTTTACAGAATTTAAATTGTGTAAAATCGTTCTAATATACTATTTTACTTAAAAGCGATTTTACGTGCGATTTAGAATCAAATACCAACATAAAAACGTAAAATCAAAGAATTTAGATTTTAAACACGATTTTAACAACCTTGCTAACTCGTAGTTGATCAAGTTGGAAGAGTGTTTTTCAAAGAAGATTCTACTACAAATATTAATTTTTGTTAAATGACAATAAAATGTTACTAGTATTTTAAATTTTTTAATAAATAAAATAAAACAAAATAGAGAGTCAAAGAGGGAAGAAGAATAAAGGGTAATCATTGTAATTAAACCAAAACGAAAGGACAATAAGCGTAATTTTGGATGACAACGACGTTTAGAGAGGGAGAAGCAGCAGCCAAAAAGTTGCATCCAAACAAAGCCTTCTCTCCTCTCTCTCTTTTTAAGACGTCACATTGTGCATTCCTCGGCCTCTTACCCTTTGCTCGTCTTTTCGCAATCTTCCGCTTCTCGAACAATCTCCGCCTCACAGTTTCGTATTCTTCCCGATCTCACCACTGTAAGTAAATCCACTTCCAATCCATGACCTAAATTTCTCGATTCAATCCTAATTTTGCAGATCCCTAATTGATTCGTCGATTGTTTTTGCTGTTGATTGAATCGATCGTTTATTTAGCTCGCAATTCAGCTGTTTTACTGTTGTTTTTAATGCTTAATTTCATAATCTAGCGTTTTCTCACTGATTTTGTATGATTTCCATTCTGTTAGTCTTGAAACATGTTAATTAGGTATTCGATTTTCAAGTTATTCCCCCTTTTTTGAGGAATTCTATAATCTGATTAGTATTTAGCTGATCTACGATGCATACTGCAATCTATTTATTTATTGATTTATTTTAAATTATAATTTTTTACCATGAGTGTATGGATTCATTTCAAGCTGTGTTGATAGCTGTAGTTAGTTTACTCCCCTGGTGCCATTGTTTTGCATAATCTATGGATTTTTCCTGATTTTCTTACGGTATATCTTAAAGTGACTGTGGCCAGTTTAACATTTATTAGTTTGTTGAATCAAGAGGTCGGTAATTGTCTATGTAACACCGATACTTCTGAAAAAAAAGTGTGTCCGTGTCTGTGTCGGTCACGTGTACCAACAACACTTGTGATTATGTTTAATTTACTATTTTTTTCAAATTATTATTGGTGTTGCCATGTCAGTGTCGCGGTCGTATTTGCAGTGCTTCATAGGTAATTGTTAAAACTATTATAGATGTTATTGGGTTCCTGGTGCGACTATAAGAATTTTCCTTTTGCTTTTCTATCCAAAACTTTGAAGCTGTTAATTCAGGATAAAGTTCTAGGTTTTGTGTTTATAGCGTTCCCTGCTCATAATATTACTTGATAGTGATTATATGCGTTTTCTGGTCTACTGAATTTTCATTCAGGGCAATCATGAGTGATGAAGGAGAAAGGACTTGTCCTCTCTGTGCTGAAGAGATGGATTTGACAGATCAGCAATTGAGACCATGCAAATGTGGCTACCAGGTTTTATTCTATATCTAAGTTCTTTTTATCGCGCAATAATCTGATTGATGTTGTATTTTTTAAGTTTACATTTAAATGATCTTTTAACATATTTTTATCTATTGATCGTTTGATATTTGGCATTTTTCAATCCTTACTATTCATCCATCGTTGATGGGCTCAAAATCAAAAGACATTAGTGTCTGTCAAACTTGTTGGTCAAAGGATCCTAGAGTTAGCCCAGCTGAAACCTTGGAGTTGGCTATGCGCAAGCCGCAAAGTCACCTGGATTCATATTCCCGGTTTCATTATGGACTAATAATCCCGTAGGATGTTTAGGGGTTACTTAGTTGTGAAACAATTAGTGGAGGGATCTATCATGTGTCATGTGTTGTAGTTTCAGACTTTTTTTTTTAATTTTTTTTTTATATATTTTTTTAAAGTTGGGTGAGAGTGATATATATATATATATATATATATATATATATATATATATATATATATATATATATATATATATATATATATATATATATATATATATATATATATATATATATTTTATTTTCTCGCTGATTCTGGCAGGACAATTTTCTCTGTTTTATGTTATCTGTTCTTGAGGCACTCATTGTGCAAATATTTTGGTGATCTAATGATTTTTTTAGCTTATAAAATAGACTATTCACGCCTCCCTGTCAATTTTTATTTTAGTGTATTTTATGCAGTCTACTCGTGCAAGGTGGAATTTTGATTAATTATTACTCCTCAAATGAATATTGTGGTTAGTCTGTAAACTATTTAGTATGAGTTCAATCTTTTACTGATTAGAATACGTGCTAGTCCCTTCTCTTTGTTGTGTGTTATGTTTTCTGAGACGTTTTTTTTTTCCGATAACCACGAACACAAACAATGTTGTAATGCTAACTGTTTCTGTAATTGGCTGTAGATTTGCGTCTGGTGTTGGCATCACATAATGGACATGGCTGAGAAGGACAATACAGAGGGACGGTGCCCTGCATGTCGTTCTCCATATGATAAGGAAAAGATTGTCGGGATGGCTGCAAACTGTGAGAGGTTATTCTTTTAACAGTACATTTTGTAGGCTTGAAATGTTTATTCTTTCCGCATCCCCTTCCTTTCCTTTTTAATTAAGTGTGCATGCATTTGTCTAACATATATATATATATATATATATATATATATATATATATATATATATATATATATATATATATATATATATATATATATATATATATATTCAGATAGAACAAGGTACATCTCAGTTATTATGGGCCTGTTTGGTTTTGTAAAACATTTTCTATTAATTTTTTTCTTTTCATGTGTTCAGACTATTATCTGTTGAAAACCGCAAAGCGAAAACACAGTGTTATTTTTGTGATTAAAATTGAGATCATACAATGAAAGCCTAACAGGCCTTACACTCTCAGTTTCTTAGATTGTGTTAGTCAGAAGCATTTTTTTAAATGCTTCCATGGTTAGGCATTTTTATAATTGTCTTGCTGATAATATCTTTGCTTAGATTGGTGGCTGAAGTTCATATGGAAAGAAAGATGAAGAGCCAAAAAGCAAAGTCTAAATCATCTGAAGGACGGAAGCAGCTCAATGATGTTCGAGTTATTAGGAGGAATCTTGTTTACATAGTGGGGTTGCCTCTCGACCTGGCTGATGAAGATGTAATATTTTGACTTCATCTACTCCAATAGTTCCCATCTTTTGCATTTCTTTAATTAAAAAAGTAGCATTAAATTCCACCTTACCCTCCCGTGTCTTTCAATTTTTCCCATTGTTCTCAGTGGATGTTTTTAAAACTTTATCAATATTCATGCAGCATCTCCAGCGGCGAGAGTATTTTGGTCAGTATGGGAAGGTCTTAAAAGTGTCAATGTCTCGGACGGCAGCTGGTGTTGTTCAGCAGTTTCCAAACAGTACATGTAGTGTGTAAGTTTGTGATCTTTCCAAATTTGTAACTCAGCTTGTCTTTTCATAGTGGTGTTTGCATGATTGTCATAGCAGCCAAGGCAGCCACTTTAGTGAGCATGGTGGAGAGGCTCTTGGCCACTCCTGAAAGTTAGTGGCGCTACTCTATTGGTATCCAAAATCTTTAGTTAAACCTCTCTAAAACCCATCATAATTGGCCACTCCTGAAAGTTAATGGCGCTACTCTATTACTCAGAAGAGATGTAGTTGATAATTTGTTGGATCCCTAGAAGTGTTTATTTTGAAGAGGAAAATGGTTTGGTCCCTATGATGTCCTTCTCGACACATATTCCAATCAATTTGGATGTGGTTGACTTTGGAAGCTACCCAATTTTATCTCTAAAAACTGTATTTGTAATTATATCTCGTCTTGATGACCATTAATATTTCTTATCATTTTTGTCCGTTATAATTTTATTAAAAGTTTCAGCTCTTAAAGGAAAGATTTTTGGTTTCAGTTATATTACTTATTCAAAGGAAGAAGAAGCAATTCGATGTATTCAAAATGTACATGGATTTGTTTTGGAGGGTAGACCTTTAAGGTATTAATCCTTGCACTTGTTGAGGCCTTTTTCTTTCACATATGAGATGATTGACCCCTGGTTCTTGCTTATCAGTTTCTTATGTTATCTGTTTTTACATTTCAGGGCTTGTTTCGGAACAACTAAATATTGCCATGCATGGCTTAGAAACATGGTTTGAAAAATACTAATTCCTACAAAGATTTTTACCTTTTCCTTGATTAGTTGAGCTTTTAATCGTGGATAAATTTTGATGAACAGCCTTGCAACAATCCGGATTGTGTGTATCTTCATGAGATTGGCTCTCAAGAAGACAGTTTCACCAAAGATGAAATAGTTTCAGCATACACTAGGTATTGCTATTACATAAGTTTTGATGCAAAGCATATTATGTTTTGATTTAAAAATAAAACCATACTATGTTGCAATTGGTTCAGGTTCCTTGTCATGTAAGCATTTCTTATCAGCATTTAGTTTTTAATTAACAATGATGAATCTACCTTACCTTTCCGAGATACTAAACTATTTGTGGATAGCAGAAATTCCTACTTTGTGAATATCATGTTGACTATAGTTAAATGTTTGGAATCTGAAACCTGACTGTCATAAAAGGCAAGGATTTTTAAGGGCAATTGGCAAGTTTGGGTTTTTTTGATGGCTAATTAATGTCATCATTTATTTTAAAAATGGATTAAGACGGGTTCACATTGCATAAACTGTGTTACCCTCTAATTTGTGCTTTTGATGATTTCACTTTGTTTTTTTAAGAAGTCATGTTCAACATATTACTGGTGCTGCAACCAATATGGAACGGCGTTCAGGGAATGTATTGCCTCCTCCGTTGGATGATTGCACGAGCAACAATTCAGAGAAACCCATTGTGAAAAATACTTCAAGTGTATGCGTTTCTTTTTCGTTATGCTTTTAACACTCTTTTGTTATATTGCATCTATTTTTCTGGGCGTCGGTCTTTACTGCAATGTTTCCCTGTGCTGACTCATTATTTAGTTGCTCTTCGTCCAGACTGACTATGCTGCTAAATGCCCTTTGCAGCTAAACATGTAGTTACTAACTTTCTATTTTGATTATGGAGCAGAACTCTGTTTGCGCTGTACGAGATTCTCCTCCTAGTGGAAGCCCTGCAAAGCCTATGGCTCCCCCTGCTGCATGGTAATATATAGTGTTGGGTTTGGATTGGAATGTTAAAACTTAAGATTATTTGAAGTTAATTAACATTTGAATGTGTTATTAGGGGTTTACGGGCTACAAATTGTCAGCCAGCTGCTGGTGGTATATCATGTCCTACTGGACTGTCCAAGCCCAAGCCTGATTCCATCAGCAGCACACTACCCTTTTCCTCTGCTGTTGCAAGCACAAATCAAGTTTCTAAGCATAGTGAGTCAATAAAGGGGCAAGTGTCAAGTGATGGGCGTCATAGTATAGTGCCTGGAGAAACAAATAACACTATGAATGTCCTGGCGAGTGCAAGTGAAAAAACTTTGGCTTCTGATGTTTCTCTTGTACCTGTGAATTCAAACACCCAATTGCCTTCTATACCATTAGTCAGAGATGGTTGTACATCATCAAACACAACAAAGTCTATTGACATCACATCTAATTCAAATGGCAGCTTTTGTTCTGACGAAGCAGTTACTGCTACCAATAAAGTGATTCAAAATTTGTCATATGGGTTGTCCTCTCTTGACCTTGATAGAAATGTTCTAAATGAACATTATAACGTAACCAAACCCAGCAGCAGCCCACCTACTGATTTTGTATTGGTTAAGTCTATGCAATCTCAAGGATCAAAACATATTGATAAATTCAGAAATGTGAAAAATACAAATGCAGCTAGTAAAGCCTCTATATCAGATAGCGAGGTCTGTAAATCAAAACAACAATATGATTTAAAATTGGATTTTCAATCTAAGCAAGCATCTGGTTATGTTGAAATAGAAGGTGATGTGACATCTTTTGATAGTCAGAGACTCAAGGATCCAGAAGTTGTTAGTCATTCTTATTTGCCTAATTCATGTTTCCCTTACATGGAAAATCATAATAATCCACATCCTCTGCAGCATGGTGAACCTTGTACTGTTGTAAATACTGGTTCTTTAGCCGCAGATAATGAAGTTGGGTATGAACCACAATTACATGGATCTAAAGCATTATGCAATGGCTATTCTGAGAAATTAGACAGTACCAGCACTTACAGTTTGCTTCATGATGAAAAGAATGATCATCACATTGGAAGATTAATTAGTAAAACAGTTAATGTTGGAAATGATGCTGCTACAACAGATAATGGTGAGAGTAGTATAATTTCAAATATATTGTCCATGGAGTTTGATGCCTGGGATGATTTGGCGAAGCTGTTAAGTGACAGCACCGAAAATCAGAATGGTCTGCTAAAGAAATCTAGCTCTTGGAATGTTCAAACCAATCAATCAAGATTTTCTTTTGCACGACAAGAGGAATCCAAAATCCAAGCCTTTGATATGAATCCATCTCATGGTGCCAACCAACAATTACTCAGAAGCCGGTCTCTTATCCAAGATTTTGTGGAAACAACAGACATGTCTTTGGACAAGATGGATATTGCATATGGCTTTCCCGCCAATAACATTGAGGAATCCGAAAAGCTAGGCACTGGTCAGTTTGTTGCTTCTTCCAATAAGCTTTCTGGTGAGTATTAATAGCTTACATAAACTAGCCACTCTTTCTATTTATGTAGCATTTCTCAACATTGATTTCTTTTTCTGATTTAGCACTGATGTTATTTTATGCCAATTTTGGCTTGGAGTTTTTCTTTTTGATTGAACTGAATTTTTAAAAAATATCTTACTTTTGGTGGAATTTGCTAGAAGTAAAACTTTTGATAGTTATTGGGAATCTAGAGAGCCCACGCCCACTATTGAAAGTGTATTCCTGAAAAAATAGTGGTTAACTAGAATGCTTATAAATGTAAGTGTATTCCAGAAGGAATAAAGGCTAATGGTGCTCATAGAGCGGCAAGAGTCTGTTTTTGTCATGGCGGAGGATAAAATTCCATGAATATATTTGTACACCACTGAAAAAAAGTAAAAAGGTCAAGTGGTCTGGATTTACTCTTGAATTTCTAGATAACCTGCCCTGTCAATCGTGCGATGATTTACAGTAGAATAGATAACTGATTATGATAATGTCACCAAGTTGAAATTGAAATAACAGCTTCCAAGCTCCTCTTATCTTTGTAAAGACATGCAATGATCTTCCTCTATTATGGTTTTCAGCTAACTCAAAACCACAAATTTCAGCGCCCCCAGGATTTTCAGTTCCAAGCAGGCCACCACCTCCTGGTTTTTCTTCTCATGAGAGAATGGGGCAGACTCTTGACTCAATTTCTGGTTAGTTATTGCTTTGTTCGGCTTGCACCTACTTCCTGCATATTGTTTGAAATTGAATGACTGTTTTCCTTTTGACAGGGAATTCATTGCATGACCCTTTCTTATGGAGAAATTCATATCAGACACCGTCAACTGGAAATTTTGGTGGTGCAGGAGACATTGAGTTTATGGATCCGGCTATTTTGGCAGTTGGTAAGGGGAGGCTTCAAGGTGCGCTAAACAGCCAAACACTAGACATGCAATCCAATTACACCCCACAATTAAATTACCTTGAGAACGAAGCGAGACTTCAGTTATTGATGCAAAGATCTCTCTCACCACAAAATAACCATCGATTTTCGGAAATTGGGAACACATTTTCTCAGCTTGGTGATCCTTATGGAGTTTCTTCACGGATAGATCAATCACATGTCAGTAATCTGGCAACATTTCCTCAACTGTCTCTCCAGCAGTCTAGAAATGCTGTCTTGTCAAATGGCAATTGGGATGGGTGGAATGAATTGCCGAATGGAAATAGGATAGGTATGGCCGAGCTTTTGAGAAACGAAAGACCCGAGTTTAGTAAGTTTTATAGAGGATATGATGATTCAAAATACCAGATGCCAAATTCTGGGGATCTATACAACAGGACATTTGGGATTTGAATTTATTGGTTATATATCTTTCTCAATTTTGGGCATGGCAAAGCCAAGGCAGAAGTGGAAAAGCACAATCTTTCCGGCATTGCTTAAGGTGTTCGAGCTGGCTCTGGTTCTCGGCGTTATTTCTCTAATGAACTACCTATGGCTATGATGATAGTCGAAGACTTCAAATGGTAAATTTTCAAGCCTCTCCCCTTCTTAATATAATACTTCTTATGGTTGCCTTGGCTTCTAGTAGCATAGTCTATACTGTGTGCAAGAACATATCGTCAACTGCTTGTTAACCGGTATTATATTTAAAACACGCTTTTCTTAAAAAACATCACATAATTTTCCTCCCTTTTCTATATGTAGTTCCGGATTTGCTGAAGCAAGCTGTGTGAGATTTAAGAAATCAACGATGGATTGAAACATGATGATTAGCTCATAGCCCACTTAGATCTTAGTCCAATGTTCTCTTTATAAGTACAGACAAAGGAAACTTGTCTATTGACTATGAAGTGTGAACTAATCAACTCTATTTATTGGGATTGTAATTTTCTTTACTGAACTTGTGGATATAAATGGAGGTTGGGAATATGATTCAATGGTAATACTTTTGGCAGCAGCTTTGCATCTCTTCATATTTGATATTTTTCATTTTTCGTTTTTACTAGAAAGTAAGGAATCTCTTCACCTAATTTTGGGTGAAGTGGTGCTCAACGAGTTTTAGTTTATGTCGAACATCTGAGCAGTACACAAATTCAATGATCAATTGGGACAATTTTTTATTAGGTTATATTTATTTATCGGTTGAATTCTAGATGAATCTAGCTGGATTTAGGAGGTTTAGATAAAGAAATTGATATATTTTTGGCTTAAATGCAGTTTTAGGTACACTAGTATGATATTCGGTGTTTTTTTTTTTTCCTTTCAATCGTCAGCCAAACCAATAAATATATTCAAATTGACCATGATTACTACGCATAAAAATTTGTCATTTTCATTTTTTTTATCGTAGAAATGATTGTTATTTTTATTTTTTTAATATCAAATTATTAATTATTATTCTGTATATTATATTTAATATATTAATAAAATTAATTTAATGAAAATATAATGTTTTATGAAACGACAATCATTTTAAAATGGAGATTATATGATATTGGCATGTCCAGAACCTTTTTTTTATCATAATCTAATTTTAAAATGAAATTATAATTTATATTATTATTATTATTATTATTATTATTATTATATAAAATGAAATTGTTGAATGTGCTTCCATTGTATTGAAATTTGTTGTGGTCTCATTGTACTAAAACCCTATTAGTTTAATTTGATATGTTTCTTAGATTTATATGGTCTGGTCGGTTAGTTGTTAAAGCATTAGGTTAAGAATTCACCATCGAGGGACACTTGTACATGCCTATGTTAAATGATATTTGAAGAATAGAACTTCAAAATCAATTTATAAGCTGGACGTGTGTCACGTGACAAGTTAATTTATATGATCGAATAAGGTTCAATGTAAAATTATAAGGCATGCTAATTGAATAAAAGAAATTAACATGCCATATCATTAAATATTGTACTTAAGTATAAAATGAAACACAATCAATGTTGAAAAATAATATGGCGGGGATAGTGGAACCACTAGACAAAATTCTCAGAGATAATAATTAGTTGTAATTTCTAAAAGGTCCTTTTAGAAGTTATAATAGTAAAAAGAGGAGATACAATGGGCGATACGATTCAGATTTCAAACTCATATAGAAGACGTTTTTTTTAAGTGATATAATAGACATTGTTGAAAACTAATTAATGTCATGAGGATGTTCTAAATGCTTATACAAATATCTACAACCACTACCATAAACATGTGATGTAAGTATCCAAGCTCATCATCAATAATCCAATCATTCAAAAGACACACGGAATAGAGAGAACAATATCAATAAATTTGGATTGCTCAATGCATCCTTAGTGTTACTCACGTATCTCTGTGAAAAACCATTAATGCACTCTTAACATTGTAAATAATCGATTATTAATGTTTAGATTGAAAGATTTACATAGAAAATCCTTATCATTCATTAAGAGACAATCACAATTTATTATAGGATCGATTATGCATTGATTAAACATCTTAAAAATTTTGTTGTTTTTCTTCCAATTAAGCAGTCTGTCCTCTAATTAATTTACTAGACTTCAAAAATGTCTTTTTTTTTTTTTTTGTTTTAATCAAAAAGTGAAAGACTTCTATGTGTTTTAGTTGTATGTGATTTATCCATACTAATTACACACTAATAATTCAGATAAATATGATTAAATGAGCTTTTACATTTTTCCTCTTTCACACTTTGAAGTTTAAGTCTCAACATTATTTTTGAATTGAGCATCACACAAGATTTTTGAGTATTTTTTATGAGGCTTGAGATATTTCTATATTAGTTGCCATCACCCGAGACATTTTAAATCATCAGTGATCATAAATTCTAATTCTTCACTTGAACTAACTTTAATTTGATTCGGAAGGATAAATTAATTTTATCAACCATCTTGTGCATCTTTGCCTGCTTGAGCTAACTTTATCATTTTACTTGACTTCAAGTGTTGTTATCATGAAAACCACTTCAAATATTGTTACCATTTTAAGTGTTGTCACTACTTCAAGTGTTGTCATCATCAAAACCATATCATTATCGAAGTTAAGTAGTTGCTTATTGAATTTTGTTATCCACAAACTTAATCATCTTGGATCACTTTTTTATTATACCTACAAACACATGAATGCAAAATGTGAACTAAAATGTTCTTTGTTGTATATGGTGCATACAAATTAATTTTTTTGGTTCATCAAACGGATGATCCAAATCTTCACTTTTCCATTTTTCTTGAATACTCTAGCACTTTGAAGTTGAGTAGAGTCATCAGTGTTACCATTAGACTTTGACCTTTTTCTTTTTCATTATGGTACAGAGCTAGAGTTTGGATACATTCTATACCCTCCGATTCCATCACAACATGAGAGCATTTTAAAGAGATGTTAAGGCTATGGCCTCATTGTGGGCTCGAAAATGGTAAATTGTTCATACCCTTTACCATGGGCTTCTAATGAAAAAAAACATAAACGATGCATATGCTCTCATTAAAGATATGAAATAACTGAAAGTCCATTGAACATTCACACTCCACAAAAAGGGACAAGTATGAAATTGACACTTTAGAATATATTGCTTCTAAAGTTGATATATATATATATATATATATATATATATATATATATATATATATATATATATATATATATATATATATATATATATATATATATATATATATATATATATATATATATATATATATATATATATATATATATATATATATATATATATATATATATATATATTTTTAAATGTGATAAATTGAATGTCACTATTGTCACCCTAATGTTTAACCTAGTGAAATTTATGAGACTATTGGTTATGCTTCTATTGAGTGTAAAATGATTTCAAATTTAAAGTATAACATACAAAACCTTAATTACTTTGACAATTCTTAAAGAGGGAATCCGTATTCTATTACGTATAATTCAATGTGGAGAGACCACTCAAAATTATCTTACAAGAACACCTTCCCCCAACATGCGGTTAGACCCCTGAGTTTTCAAGAACAAAAGAGTGTTTTTGCTGCCAAAAGTCCAATCTTAAAAATATAAATGAAAATTTTATGATCACTCAAACTAAATTAAGTGATGAGTTTAAAAACTAGAACATGCACACAAATGAAATCCTTAAGAAACTAGTATATAAGATGGATTCCATGTCCACCCATGATAAAATGACGGAGACTCAAATATTACAAGTAACACAACAAGTTTATTCATCAACTAAATCTCCTAGGACATTTCCATGGCAGCTCCAACAAAATCCAAAAGGGCATTTAAGTGCCGTCACCCTAAAAATGGAAACAACTTGATGAGTCTAAGGAGAAAGATGAGATTGAAAATGAGGAGAGTGAAAATGTCAGTCCAACAAGTGAGGTTGTAGAGGAGGAAAAAGAAAAAAATCATATCTCTCACTAGCACCATACGAACCACCTGTCACATTACCATAAAGGTTTGTCAAAGTTAAGATTGAAGAGATATTTAAAAAGGTAATGGAGCTTTTAAAAAAAACTATACATAAATATTCCTTTCACATAAGCTCCGTCTAAATGTCGTCATATGTTAAATTTATAAAAAAACTATCAAACAAAAGAAATCTAGATGATAATAAGGCATTTGCTTTAACTAAGGAATGCAATTCCATAATCCAAAATAAATTGTCTCACAAATTTAAAGATCTGAGAAGTTTTTTAATTACACGTGTAATTGCAAATAAGAGCTTCAAGCGTGTTTTGTGCGATCTAGGGGCTAGTGTTAACCTAATTCCTTTATTAATCTCTGAAAATCTTGATATTAGTGAAGATATTTTAACTTTTCTTTATAGTATTCTTAGACTATACAACTTACTAGGTTAGTGCTTATTCATTAATCTTCAATGTATTTATTGTAAGGCTATTATAAATATTAGTGTGATCAAACTAAAGGTAGACAAAATTTATAAATTCTATAAGGTCCAAGGAGGTTTCAATGATGAAACATTTGAAGGTTGATAATAGCGGGGAAATCTTGAGTGTTTCAAGAACAAGGAATGATTATAAAGAGATGTCAAAATCCAAGGGTTTTGATAAGTCAATGATAAAATGCTTTACGTATCTTAAAACTAGTCACTTCAAAAAAAAATGTTTCGAGAGGAGGGTAGCAATGTTAGTACTATTCATATTGCAGTTGTCTCAGATGAAGATGATTATGAGAGTGCTAGTGTACTAGTGGTGTCGAATTTGGAGACAAGATGAGTTGAAGTTGAAAGCATGTGGCGTTGTTCGACTCAGTGACAATAAGGTTTTAAAATTTTATGGTGTTGACATGGTTAGACTTATAATGTATGAAAATCATGAGTTTCTTTTACACAATG